CTGTGTCTAATGCCAAGGATTTTACTCATCAGTGCTGTCACTCAGTGGGTTAATTCACAAACGACTCCTTAGTCCTTAACTGTCTGATAAACAATTTTTGTGTTTTAAAATTTGTTATAAACAAGTTAAAATAAAAATATACAAATCTGTATTTATCCTCAAATATGAATAAGGGGTTATTATAGCCCAAGTATGAACACTTGTGCCACAGTGCCAGCACAAAATGGGCTATTCCAGCTTTCAATTCTGCTGGAATGAGGTGATAAATTTTTAGCTTTGGAATTCCTCAGGGATAAGCAAATATTTTCTGTGTGGAATTCTTTGGGGGTAATCCGGTAATGGATATTTTGAATGAGATTTTCTCAGGGGTCAAATGTAAAAATTGAAATTCTTCCAGGGTCTCTCTTCATGGGTATTAACAGGAATTCTTCAGTGGATCTCTTTTATGACCTGTAGGAATTCTTCGGTTGAGCGATATGATGAACTCTTGTGCAACGGACCTGATTGTGCAACGGACCTGACGACCTTAGGGACGGACCATTAGAAAACTGATGGGGAGGGGGGGAACCAAAAAAATTTATTCCCAGGAAAAAATTAGAGGAAAAAAATCTTCCCAGGCAGAGTGCAAAAAAAATTCCTTTCTTGGAAGATAGGCCTATAAATTTTAATACAAAAATATATTTCCAGCCATCAAGTGAGACAAAAAAAATTTCTATAGGTGTACAAAAAAAAAAATATTGCCTCTTAGAAAATCCCCCCCATATCATCACTTTTCTAATGGTCCATCCCTTAATTAAATTTGCTGTATACATTATGTTGCAACGTGTCACTATTTAATAAACTTATGTACAATTACAAATCAAGCCCACAAATCGTTGAATATACTCTTACCGCTCGTTGCAAATCACGCAGGCGCCTATTTAAAAAGCCCCAGCAACTTAACGCTCGAGAGAGAGTCTTGTTGAATTCGGATTCGGTTTTTGAGATATGCAAAATTATCAAGGTCTCGGTAAGCGTTATATTCAATATGATTTCTGGCAAAGTTGTTCAAGTAAAACGTTTCTGTAAACAAGTCTCCGGAAGTCCAACAGTTAAATTAATTACAAATATAAAAGAAACATATTATCGTTAAGATGTTAACGTATTAAAATATTTACTTGTTAAAGTAAACATTACAATTATGAAATGTACACTCATTTGAAAATTGAAATGTACACTCATTTGAAATTTACACTCATTCAATTTCACGCAACCTACACAAAATTCAGTTATCTGCTAGCGATAACTGAATTTTGTGTAGGTTGCGTGATTGCGCGATTTAACTGTAAGCTCTTAGCCAATCAAATTGCTTTTACCAACTACAATGTATAATAATATTGATTATGCATGGACAAATTCCGACCGTTAACAAATATGTTTTTAGATTCTAGTTCTATTCTGCTGCCGCTTTGTATACGGGCGTATTTGAAAGTTGAAACTGGCTGCATGTCACGTGTTAATTAATTCACTTCAGCTGGATTGCATGGTGACACTTACCTCGATCTTGATAATTCTGGATATCACAAAATTAAACTTCATCCAATCACTGCTAAATAAGAACCGGACCTGGTTAACCTGGATAATTTGCAATTTGTTTCCCATATCGGTTCCATTTGAAATTCTGGGAAAAGCAACTGCCGTTCTGGGAAGAAAAGTGGCTTCCTCAAATCCGGTTTTATAAGTTCAATAAATTAGCATATTAATTAAACATTTATATGTTGTATGTTTTGGAAGGTCACCGCTTATATTTTTATAGTAATTTTAAAAGGTTTGAGCGAGTTTGGTACTCTTTCCCTATTTTTTGCTCTATATTGTGCAAGGAACTGCAGAACGTAATAAAGATTAATTTTACTGAAACTTCCAGTACAGAATTACGATAACTTGGTGAGTATATCTTCAGTGAAACAAATTATGTCTGCAGTCAATCGTGCCACGTAGTCAAAATAAAGCATTGGTTTATATGATTATCAACGATGCATGGTGATTACCATTAAAATTGTCATTGGCTACTACTAGGAAGGGCAATTTTGCCATGTATTATGTATTGCTTGTTTGTCCTATCCAACGATTGATATCTAGGCCTAATATTATCCTAACACTTTGATTTGTAGATCTCGCTAAACGCCGGCCCGATCCATGTCAATAAACGACGTTCGTTTATACGTGTACGTAGCCTATATGCATGTACAGACATGTTCGTGATTTTATTGCGATCTCTGTCTTAAACATCCCGATACGTTTCGCTGGTACATATACTAAAAATGCGGAAACAATTAATGTATATATGTTGCGCGCTTACAGTATGTAATTACCAATAGGCAATATTGTTCCCATACAATGATATAGAACGTTGAACCTACATTCCTGTCGATATGTAAACAGGTTGCACCTAACTTCAATAAGCATGTCTCTCACTTAGTAAAATAGCAGTCGTCTTACTTTTCCACTGAATGTGGCAGGATATGTGTTTCCGTGATACAGTGTTATAGCGTGGCATGTTTCATGATACAATATTTAAATCTGAATATAGTTTGCTTAAGCCAGGTAATCGATACGTGCAGTATATATTTTTATGAAAAGTGAAAATTTCTTGCGATATAGATATATTTTATCATAAAGAGTGGTGAATCTTTTGCAGATAGCGATCAGTGCCATCTAGTATCCCATTCAAAGTTTATACTGCTTTGTTATTTAATTATTTTCTCATTAACAAGACGCTCAATTGAGCGTTAGTCTCTGGGACTATTGCATATTAAGTTGTGATTGAGATTAAAGTTGCTGCCTTTTGTTTGTTTATGTCTTCATATGTTTTTTTTTGTTGTCAAAAATGGATTCAAAGATATATCAAAGACAAAGTTCATCAAACAAGTCCCCCCCCCACTATAGACAATGAACAAATTTGGCCAACGTTTGTTTATACCCAATTCACAACTTTACATAACCCACATGACTAATTATCATTGTTCAAGTATAAAGTATACAGGGTGATTAAAAAAAAATTGACACCTTTGTTATTCAAATTAGCCGCGAATGTATCAGTTTTTCTTACTCACCCTGTAGAGTAGAAGTATAGGTTATATACCGTGACCGAAGTGTTTATGCGACATATGAGGTCTAAGGTATACAGGATGAGTAAAAAAAACTGATATACCTTCGCGGCTAATTTGAATAACAAAGGTGTCAGTTTTTTTTTACTCATCCTGTATAACCGGCTTATCATCATTTGCTGAAGTTAAAAAATAAAGAAGAATAGCTTTTTTAATGTGATTGTGAATTGTGATAAGCACACTACGTGTTAACGCTCAGGGGCCAATTAAACAATGTTAAACAATGTTATGAATATCGTGTTGACTATACAGTGTGCAACAAAGAGGAGACATAGCGTATTTTAGTAAAGAATTGTATGGAAAGAACTGGTCACAGACGTCTGGCGTCTCCACACTCCTACCAATATCCAAGTGAAAAGTCGAGAGAAATGGTGTTAGACATAATTACAGGGACTAACAAGACTGATGAAGAAGATGTAAAGCCTAGCTTAAAACTGAAAAAGATCATACCTAATTCAGTAGTGTGCAGTGATAAAGGCCCTGTCACACTATTGCGTATGAGAGAAACGTATGAAAATTGATGAAATAATTTTCATACGCACAAAAATCCTTTGAAATGCCAGCGTATGAGTACCGTACATCTGGCGTACCTCTAGCGTATTCAGCGTGTGCCTAGAGTATGCTTATCGTATAAAGCATACGTCCGATACGCACAAAATTTTTGAACATGCTTAAAAAATATTTTCTGCCTCGCCGTATGCCACCGTATGCGACCGTGCTTGAAACGTATACAACCTATGCCTAACGTACCCCTAGCGTATGTCAGCGTATACCGCCGTATGAGTGATATTTTTCATACGCTGGCATACGCTAGTACGATGCGCAATACTGAGTGTGACAGGGCCTTAACCAATTTGTGCAGTGATAAAAGTAAAATGTGCAGTGATAAATTGTAAAAATGTGTAGTGATAAAATTTGCTGTGATAAGTTATTTAAAAGAAAATGAGGCAATGAGCAGAAAAACTGAACTAAAAATTAATCTTGACACTTGACACTATTAATCAAAACATTTTGAATGAGAATAATTTGAAAATTATCGAACGTCCGCACTAATATTATACTTAATTAAGGTTCATCAAATGAACAAATTCTCTCACCAGAAATCTCTTTATGAGCTTGGAAGATGGAGTGAATGATACTTAACCTTTTGTAATTGGTGTATAATCTTCAGAATTCTATACGATTGAATATTCCCGCATATTGCAGGAGATCCTAGATTAGAAACTGATTTTCTGTGAGTATACGCCCCTGGAACTCATCCAGAGGTTTGTCACGCCTAAGTTATCTTTCATTTGCCAAAGATGCAAGTTCTGTCAAGGCCGTCCAGAGTGGTAGAGGGGCAATTTGCCCTGGGGCCCCAGTTAAAGGGGGCCCAAATAAAGACTTACAGTGAAATATACATAAATATAACTGTCAATTCTAGACTTCCAGAATGCAGGATTTGGCCATTTCTGAGACCTGAGATTTCAAAATTTTCCCGGGGAGAATGCACCCGGATCCCTCTAATCATAGTGTTCGAAGATGGAATCACAAGCGGCTCCTAGTCAAATTTTGCGCTAGGCCCACAAATTAATTTCCCTAGGCGACCCTGGGTGCTGTGCTGTGCAGTGTATGTTGGTTTTGGCATTTTTGAGTAATATCAATTGTAGTCTGTTTTGTGGTTACACATTGTTATAAGGGTGTGTTCAGATATTTTCAGGGCGTGTTCTGCTCGGCTAAATTTGTACAAAAATGTGCAGTGAAAAAAATTCTTAAAATTTGGTATGAAAAGGATGCCTTGCAAACAACAGGAGAGTGACGACAGCGAAGATGATAATGTAGATAAAGCTAAGTCATCAAAGCGAATGTGTGTTTTTAAGTGGCAGTCCCGCTAAGAGCGGTCCGATGACTTTGACTTCGGAAAATAGATTTCCTTTATTTTTTGTGTGTTGAAAGGCATTGGTATACAAGTGTCCAAAATAAATTTATTTTTTGAAAATTCTTTTTTATGGCTTCGCTAGACGCCGAAACTCATTTTACCCGTGCAGAGCTATTTTCAAGCAAAATCGAAGGTTGAATTTCGGTAAATTGTAGAGCCGCGCTGAGTCAAAACGCCTGACTATTTCCAAATTTCAACTAGATCAGCAAGTTAAGATACAATTCAGGTTCCCTGTTCCAAAAAATAAGAGCATTTGAATAAATCGTGAATAAACGACAGCAACTTGACGGCGCGCCGCTTTTTGCTTCTTGTTCGGTCTACAAAATTACACTAAAATCGAAGCCTGACATCTCCAAATGGGGACCTAAAATTGCGCTGAAATGTGCTTGGCTGTAATGATTTATACTTATTTTCAGAAGATCTGAAGAAAAACCTGCGGGTATCAATCTGTATTTGGCGCGAGTTAAGATTTTCTGGAGCTCATAATCAATGATTTTTGCATAATTTATAGCTAATTAACATATTTCTTGAGAGGCGCTAAAAGTAAACAATTTCTTTCTGACTAACATATCTCAGATGAAAGAAACTACCACAGCTAGTAAAACCCTTTTTGTAAATATAGTCGTAATATTCTTTTCCTGACACGCGCTGAGAGAGCTTTGTTTTTGAATGTTATGCCACATTCATTCAGTCTGACCAGATTCATAAATGTCACGAACTTGTATATTTCAAAAATATACCAGAATTCAGAAAGACCGATTATTCTTTCCTTGATTCAGTTGATTGATTTAGTTGATTGATTTAAAAAACTATAAGTATAATAGAACATTCCACGTGTTTTCCTTCCTCCTAGGCCTAGAATTTTTATCAATATGTTCTATTTTTCTGTGGCGACGGCATAACA